TTGTTTAAATATTATAAAGTACGTTTTTGGGTGAAAATGGGTAACTTTTGATGCCATTGGAACGAATTAAGCCTTTAACGTGTATTTCCTATACTCGCTTCACGATCAAATCACTTAACGACCGGTTTCGTGGAACCAAATACCGTCGTTAAGAGGGGTTCGACTTTAGTTCAATAGTACACAGTACAGATCTTAGTTACAATCATGGCTTTATAGGTCGCGATACAAACAGCGCGCATCGGTACGCGCTTTTGCATTGGCGAGCGACTGGTGGACTGAGAAAGGTGGCGTTTTGTGGCGGCGTGTGGGCTGACACGATGCCTCTTGGTCGCCGCGGCTTGCAGAGATACGAAAGCTACCCAGGAGAGAGCACTTTTGAACAAAGCGTCGCCGTCACACGAACCCAATCGTGGTTCCCTCTTCGTGAAGTCGTCCGATCACCTCGAAGCAAGCCGCGTGATGCGGCGTGGCACAAGAACACAACGCGGAATAAAATCTACCGTCACCGAATGGATTTTTTTCTTTTAGCCGGCCTGTTCTCTTCTCGTTATGAGAGAAACAGGACGCACCATCTGCAATGGCCCTTCTTCACAGACCCACTTTTGAAACGATTGCCTCTCAAAAGATACATTTTTTCGCCATCGGCCCGTACCCAAAACGCACGCGCCCACGACGTTCGAACCTCCCGCCGCCGAGTTACCGCGGGTTGTGCGGACTGCGGTTTTGCATCGTCCGGGTTCAACTTACCGACCACGGTGGGCTCCAGGTCGACGAAGACGGCGCGGGGCACGTACTTGGCGGCGTCGGTCTCGCTGAAGAAGGTGCTGAACGCGTCCTTGCGGTCGCTGTGCGGCCTCGGCGCGCCGCCGCCGCCGCCGCTGCTGCCCCCGCTGCCGGCGGCGACGGTGGCGGCGGCGGCCAGGCGCTCTGCGACTGCTTGTCCTGCAGGGTGCCGTCCTGCATGATGCCGTGCTCCAGGCAGAAGAGCTCCCAGCACGCGTTGCCGATCTGCACGCCGGCCTGCCCGACGTGTACCGAGATGCACTCACGCTGCACACGCGCGCACACGCAGAATGTTGTTTAGTTTGTTTGTTCGATTGCTCGTGTGACACAGTTGTGTTGTTTTTGTTTTTTTCTCCTCGATTTTATTGATCTTGTTGTTACTCACTTCGGCGACCCAGTCACTCTTTTAACGAGACCTCCCCCCTCCCCCCAGTCTCTTAAGTGTTCACCAGGGTAAATAAAAAAACTCGTATGCACTGTATGTTTTGACTTCTTTCGCCCACGCGTATGTAGCCACCGTGCAAATCGGAGTGGCTGGGGTGGGAGACGACATGAACCAGACAACGACAGTCCGTGTTCTTACGCGCAGGTGCGAGGGACGCGCGTGTTTCGTGAGCCCGACTCCTGCTGCACGGGTGTAAACCAGGGAGTGGTGATATTTTATCAGATCATTCGCTGCCATACAAAATTATCAACTTAAAAATTAGCGTGTTATATTTTGGTCAAACATTTAATTAACTCACCCCCTAATGTGATGGCGGAACTGATTCTCTTTGGCTAGGTCGTGTGATGTTAGTTGGTATTGATGATGTTGCTACTCGCAACTGCTTTTCCAGGTTTGCTCCTAGATTTATGAATTTTGAGTTCCTGTCTGCGGTTGCCTTGGCAGGGCCCAGACCAAATAATTTCGCGGGCCTCGTACGGCCCGCGGGCCGGACGTTCCCCACCCCTGGTGTAAAGCCACGGTCGGCCAGGAGAGGTGGCTGGCTAGGCCAGCACCTGGCAGGCGAGCGAGCGTACCTGTCTGGCACGTACCGCTGCTCCACCCGAGCCAATAGAAACACACACCACATATACAATCTACATATGGTTTTATGATTGTATTTAAAAAGGACATATCTTGCCTTTCCCCCCAATTTGAGCAATAATTTTTTATTGTTTTAAGGCACCATTTAATAATTGCGCTCAGAGGGGCCATGTGTATGATGGGTGGTAAATAAGGAGAAGCAACTGGGGAGAGAATGATGAAAGAGAAAACATGTCGAACTGGAGAAAGAGGCCAGTTCTCCTTCCGATATTAGGAAGCCACTAGAGATATTCACTTTTCAATCTAGATTGAAAAATCATCTCTTCAGAACTGATTTTTGTGTGTGTTTAGTTTGTTGCCCATCCCCCAAACCTCCGATTAGCACGGTTGACTACTACGTACGGTGCGAAAGAAGATCAACATACATCCAACGTCTTCTTGGTTCTTTCGGTAAAGTCACGTAGAAGGGAAGTAATAAAATAATAAAATAAACATAATAAAACAATTCTCACGACGTTTCGGCCACAACGCAAGCAGCCGTCCTCAGTGAAAACCAGGTCCGTCGAGGCGACAGAGTCTGAATGAAACAGCACACGAGCTTGGAGCATATATATAAGCTGGGCGCATTGACAAAGGAATTTGCATATCAAAAGGAATTTAGCATATTTATGGGAAATGCAGGAATGTGATTAGTACTGCATATGCATGTGCATTATGCAGGATTAACAGCATCAAAGGGAGCTGCAGTTACTGCTGCTGCAGCAGTTGCTGCTGCTGCTGCAGTTTGCTGCTGCTGCTGCACTTGCTGCTGCTGCTGCACTTGCTGCTGCTGCCACTTGCTGCTGCTGCTGCAGTTGCTGCCTTATCCATTTTAATATAACACTATGTATTATTCTACCCACCCTAATGTGTATCATACTGCTATATGTTTACTGTACAATTACGACACCATACATTACTCTGCACACTGCACCATGCCAGTGAGTGGAACGTGGTCTGAAAGTCACCGTAAACGTGAACACAATCAGTTAAGATCCGAATGGTTTATTACGTCCTTCCAATGATTGCTAAGCCAGAATCCATCTTCTCGGTTTGAAATTGTCTCTGTGGTTGTATATGTGGATCGCCTCATGAACGAATCTCTCATGATAGCCAGATGGCTTGCAGAGAACTCTGTCTTGGAGAAGTCAATGTCATGTGAGCCCACTGAATTGTAACAGTGATCTGCCACGGCTGAGGTGTTTGTCCTACCGTGTTTCAGGTCTGCCTTATGTTCACGGATGCGGTCCGAGACATGTCGTTTTGGTTTCTCCAATGTAACTGCTACCACAGAGGAAACTTAGTTTGTAGACGCCAGGGTACTGTATGTCTGGAACCACATCTTTTACAGAAGGGACATCCAACGACTGCGAATTCCTAACCTCCAGGGGCAGGAATTGCAGAGCCACGGTGGCCATCACCCCAGGTTCGAGGCCTGGAGCGCGGGTACGTTGGGTAGGGCACGATCGGTCGATGGTCAGCGTTCTTTCATCCCGGTCATGATATCGGCGTCGTGTAATCATGACACGACAGCATCCATATGGAACTCAGAAATAATAAAACCTCTCTCAGAGCGGTGTGGACCCTCTCGTTGTTACACGGGAGAATCAAGTTTATCCCGCTCGCCACTTGGCACGGGAGGTTCACGGTTTGGCTCCAGCGGCCGCCCTGAATAATACTGCGCATGTATTAAATATCAAAACCATATACGCCGACTGTTTCCGTGGACGTTAAATATCTCGTGATGTCCTCACAAGATGTAGGCCAATGTGTGCCGACGTCATTGGCTAAAGTTAAAAAAACGCAGTTACCCGCATGTTACTCAATTGGAATTAGCATGGCATCTCCTCCCTACTGTGAGCACTTGTTGGCAGAATCATCCTGAGTGGAATAAGTAATACGAGATACCCTGGTACGCACCTAGTGACGCTGTATGGCTGAGTTACCAAATTGGAAGCTCTATCACCCTATCGGGTGCAGTACTTATTGCATTTAAACCACTATAAAGCTCCTGTATAGATACAGGGTGGCCCAAAAATTCAGGACACATAAGGTTAGTATATGTATTTTGACAACTCACATCGGGTTATTTCATTTACATTAATAAATGTTACAATTGACTTGGATTAACATTAATGCATGCATGGATTCTCTTTTGAATAAATTTAGGAAATATCTTTAAAATTACAGGTCTAATCAAGAATATAACCGATTATTGTTTGTCTCAATTTAAGCAGTTTCTTGGTCGAGTTTTATCAACGACGAATTTGTCTGAGAGCCTGGGCTACAGCACCTTGTTGTTCCTTCCCATGCACCTTCGATGAGCACGGTTGGCTACGTACGGTGCAAAAGAAGTTCCAGATACGTGCGAATCGGAGTTGCGGGGGGCAGGACAACAAACTAACCACAAGAAGCAGTTCTAAAGAAAAGAGTTTTCAAATATAGATTTGAAAAATCTAGAAGCAGTTCTAAAATATGAGTTTTCAAATCTAGATTTGATAAATCTAGATACACACGTACACACACTAAGACAGGCAATGCTATAGCTGCCACCCGCCGCTGCTGCCACCGTCGTTGCTGCCACCAATGTGGCAGGTGACGGGGTTGAGCGGTGCGAGCAGGTTGCGTGTGGCAAAGAGAGAGGGCCACGTGCGTCGCCAGAAGCCTATTTGTGTCCCACACGTCGCCGTGAACCCAGAAGCTTCAGCTACCCCCGCCTCTTCCCTTCAACGCAGAGTTGGATGAAGCTAGTGCGGGGCCTGTAGCATATGATAAAAGGGGCCATAAAAAAACACATATGTAATAAAAACATGACATTTTTACTTGCATCGTAAAGTTATCTATTTGTTTTGCATTTTCTATATAGCCAGATAATACGACAAATCGCTAACCTTAATCACCCAGTCGTTCATAAAAGTTCAAGGCAATATAGTACTATTGTAATAGAGCAAGTGCAGAATCACTGAACCAGGAACTGATAGCTTGAAAGCATTTAGCGTGGGGCCCTTTAAAGTACGGGGCCCGTAGCATATGTAGCTACTTTTGCTACGAGGATAATCCGGCACTGCTTCAACGAGAGAAGAACTTCACAACCCGGGGGGTCTTTTATACTGATTGTAGTGACATGGAATGGTCACTACGTAGCATAGCGCTGATTGCTGGCAGAGAAGGGGATCTGCAGTTGCAGCAGTCCTGTCTGTCAGCAAGTCACGTGATAAGGTCAGAGAGAGGGATGTAGGGGAAAGGTTACAGAGGGGGCACGTGAGGCGAGCCCGGGAAACCGCGAGTAGGTTCTAGAAGGGGGTGTGGCCGGGGCGGAGCGAGGCCACGCTAGGAGGATAAAAGGGGACCGCGAGCAAAGACTCGGGGCTGTCATTTGGAGTGGGATCCCGTCGTGCTGCTGGAGTCTTCGTCTACGTCTTCACCTTCTCAGCGTCATCAGTCAGGCAGTCTGCCAGCTGTCCTGACTAGGAGCTGTAGTTACCTCTTGTGAGCTGTGAAGGCTGTTAATAAATAGAGTGCCTCCTACTTCTAGTGTCACTGAGTCAGTCACTACTGCTTCGTTTGAGAAGACCGCTTATTCAACTTGCGGCTATCCGTCCATCCGCTGGCTGGATGAAGGCGAGCGGAACGCAGCGTTGCAGGCAGGTCATGGGGGAGGGGTTACCAACTCGCACTAACCAGCGTGGTGAAATATGGTAAAATTCCGCCACATCCTCTATGACCGACGGGGCATGGAGAGGCCTCATCCAGCAAGCAGTGGATTGAAAAAGCGATGGATAACACATTCCTGCGGAGGGAGCTGGTAGGAACGTTGGGTTGCTCGGTCAATGGCCAGGGTCAACGGTGGCGTGGTGTATTCTGCAAATATGCCCGACTGTGAGGGCGGGCACAAGCCGGTGTGAGTAGGTGAAACGTTGAGTTTTATAAGGGCACCACGGGGTGACCAGCCCCTCTCCACCCAGTCCCACCCCTCCTACCCCCCACCTAGCCCCACCCAGCCCCCCCCCCCTCCCCACCCTCCCCACCCAGCCCCCCCCCTCCCCACCCAGCCCCTCCCCACCCAGCCCCTCCCTTCACGACGGACACAATAATCCCCTGTGGGCTGGTGTAACCAGGAGGTTCCTACCAGTATAAATGTCGTGTTGTTTATCACGCCTTCATGTCACCCCCTGCAGCCACTAGAGGCGCTACTGTTCAA